ACCTCATTGTTACCCTTCATTTTGTCAACCTTTGTGATGTTATACTAAGCCTACCACCTCTGTAACATCTTATTACAATTTACTATTCAGCCTCTTTATTTTATCATTAGACATTATCGGTCAGCCCTCATATTCAGTGTCCCCATTGTTAATGTGTGTATTTTGTGTCTATCGCATTTCTCTCACCCCAATGACACTTGTATTCTGTTGACTATAAAACAGCACTATATCACCCAACTGTTCATTCACACTTCACCACATTTTTTCTGACTATACACCCTATACACATTCGATTGATTATGTTAACTAATGGACTATCATCTCAACTTACACATACATGCACCCCAATGCAGTTAGTTTCTGATATTATTTTCATTTGCCTTTATTGGCTATATGTACTCTATTATTCATGGATTTTAACTGTAGAGGAAGCCTGAGGAAGAAGTTATCGAAAACAATTGTTCGCTCAAAATCTTGTTTTAACTATAACCCTAACCCCAAATCTTTATTATAACTTTCATCCCAATATTAACCTTGCACTAATCTTTACCGTAGTCCTTACCCTAAATCAGAGTGAAACTTGCAATGAAGACTATAAAAAGTATCCTTTTGTGATGCGGAATTATTTGATTGGTTGGTTCAAGGTCGTTGGATGGTAGTATCTATTCTTTAGCTATGTCAACATCTGATTTTCCTAAAGCTTGTTAAGCTAATCCAGAACAGAAGGAATAACTTGATTTCGTCATTCAATCTGTAACTCTAGTTGCTTGTGCAACATCATGTGTTGGAGGGCATGCTGTGGTTTGCCTTCACAGCAATAAGGATAAGCAGAAACACCATGAGATGGTCTATCATAACTTGAGCAGCACAGTTCACCTAACCCATTCTTCTTCTTATTATTATTGTATCCTTTAATTCCTAGAGGAACATAGGGCTTCAGCCGTGCGTCTCCATTGAGTTTGGTTCACTGCTAGAGTCTTCACCTGGAACCAAGTCTGCCCAAACGTTTTCATCTCCTCTTCACATGACCTCCTCCAAGTCACCCTTGCACTGACGACCAACTCGCCGTATCCCTTTCGGGTTCCACTCAAGCATTGGCTTGTCTAGTGATGTCACTTGATGGTTTCCTCAGATTATGGCCAATACATCTCCATTTCTTCCTGCCTATTTGTTTCGCAATCGGTTCCTGCTGGGTTGTTTCGCTCATTGCCAGAGATCTCTGTTGCTGATCTTTTCTGGCCGGCCATCTGATCTTGAGTGGTATTGAGCGAAGACAGTTGTTGATGAAGGTGTGTAGTTTGTTTGAGATGCTCTTTATGACGCGCAGTGCAAGTCTCTGATCCATCCGTATAGTAGCACTGACTTCACATTGGAGTTGAAAATCCGGATCTTATTTTTGATGCTGAGTGCTGTTGACCTCCACACAGACTTGAGAGCAGTGAAAGCTTGTCTTGCTTTTCCCATTCTTATAAAACTATTATAGTGAATGCGACATTTCATCCTTTATATAAATTTCCTTGCAATGCATTAAATGTTAGTCTCAAAATTTGTCAGGACTCATCATTTCTTCATTTCCTCCAAATATTGAAATATTTGACGTAATTTTCTATTTCGGTTTGTTTCAATTTTTGGTCTTTTAATGAAGTTTTTTTCGGATTGACTATTGCTATAAGTTTGTCGATAATAAGTTAGTGTATCAAAATGACATTAAAATATATTTAAACTCTTAAATGCCCCCATAAACAACCTTGTACGACCGAAGGTAGGTCTGTCTGTCTGTTTTCGACATAGAACTTTGCACATATGTGCGGCTGTTCAAGTCGCCACACTCCCTCCATGTAGCACACAAAGCAAGAGAAGAAATTAGGAGAAATGCATAATATAGAGAGTAAACAGAGGTATGAGACAAAGGAATAGTAATAACGAAGAACAAAACAGTTTCATTGGAAATCATAAGTCACAAGGAGTGGATGCATTTGCACAAGGCATTGAGAACGATTTTGAGCCATGTCACCAATTGTTTCCAACCACCATTGGTTTATACCGTCCCGAGGACCCCAACCAGTCAAGAGGTCTACACCTTCCTACGTGACTGGCTTAGACTAACTGTTGTGGATTCATTGACTGGTGCCATGTTTTCATTTGACCGCCGCTAGCTCTTTTCCAGCCTGGCCCTATATCAGCCAACATTGCCCGTCGAGGAAGGCGATGACTAGGCATACACCTGTAACACATGTCCCAACCATCTCAGTCGATATAATTTCACAGCTTCGTCGATTGATCCCCCCCTCCTTACCTAGCACTCGATCGAATCCTAACCTCAATATTGCTCACCTTATTATACCACCACGTAACACGGGTGATAGAACGCAGGAACCTATGATCAAAGACAGCTAGTCTTTTCATGTCTTCCGCTCTCAATGGCCAGGTCTCATAGCTATAAAGGGTAGACTTCAGTCTGCTAGTTAAGTCCTATTTTCTGCCCTTCACGCGGTGAGTGGGGGTGATCTTCACAAGACTGAAAGAGCGAATGCGGACATCTGGCCCTTACAACCGGATTGGTGGACTTGTTACTTTATCTAGGGGAGCGTACATGGGTTCCAGAATCCGAAATGATAGAATTTCGTACTATCCCTGTTTGGGCACTGGCAACCATAGGAATGCAGCTACTGGTGCTGCGTCACTGTCTTGTGGATAAAACTCAAAGTCAAAGACTCGGGAGGTGGACCCTTACGACAACAACCTGCTCCGGTCTGGAAGTCTTGGCAGTATCCAAGCCCCCGTACAAATTATGAGACTTTGTGTGTCGCATCTCTTCGCGCCCATAATGTCCATACAATCAATTGGAAATACCAAGTCGAAGAATTATCTATCTTTAAAATATGGAAACTTGACAGATAACCTTGTAATTTACGTGATGAATCTTCATTTAACGAAAAATCAGTCTTTGTAAACTCAATCATGTTGTTGTTGGCATTCATGTTAGCTGTTTCGTATGACCACAAAACGTGCCTACATAAGACAGCATAGTTTGAAGGCTAATTTTAGCAGTAAGATGGCGAGTTTTTAAGTGAATCATTTAGTCATTTGACTAACTGAGTTTTGACACAAAAGTGTAGCAGTTCAAGTTGCCTCACTTCATGTAGGACATAAAAGTAGGCAGGCAAAAGAGAGATTTGAAATAACTTTAACGTGCAGAAATATACTGGAGAAACAATGGTGCTTTTAGAAAACATGAATGCCTAATAGGTTTGGGTGATTAAAAGGAGTGGATGCATCCGCAGTATTGAGAACTATTTTGTATCATATCACTAATAGTCTGCAGCCATTAATTCTTAGCATCCTGAGGTTCCGAACCAACAAGTCCGCACCCCGCTACGCAACCCTTCGATAAATTCTGGAGCATAGGCATATTTCTTGACCTGAAAGCGGTATTCGATTCCGTCTGCCGAGGCATACTATGGCAATGTTTGTCTGTGAAGGGAATGCCAAGAAAATACATCGCACTGATCAAGGCACTGTACTCGAATTCATGCAGTCAGTCAGGTGAAAAACTATGGAGAGTTGTCATCTGACAATTGTGATGACAACCAGTGGTGTCTGTCAGGGATACCAGCCCACTCTCCCCATTTCTGTTTAGTTTCATGATAATGGATTTCACACTAACTGACTTCAGTGATTCAGGAATTGGCATGTTACCATGGTATAATCTCGGTGACTTAGAATATGCCGATGATATAGTTTTTCTAGGTGAGAACATTGACAAAATTCAGTCTTCTGAACACCTTGAGGAGCAGCAATTTTTGAACATGCAATTTGTTCCCTCTGTCAAATGTAAAATGATGATGCTACAGGACTGAACTATATCGACTCATTCTTAGCTTAAAGATAAGCAGGAGTGGAGTGGTGGCTAAGCGTGTTGACCACTTCCCTTATTTGGGGAGTTGTATCAGCCAGCCCAAGAGGGTTGACCGCTGACGAAATCTCAGCACGGATACAGAAGGCTCATTTAGAATAAGCCAATTTGATTCATCTCTGGCTTCGTGGAGGTGATATCCAGCTGACTGTAGACCAAAGGCCGTGTACTGCTCAGCAGTTCGCTCTGTCCTCCTCTATGGCTGTGAGACATGGTCATTGAGAGTGAAAGACATGAAAAGCCTGGCCGGCTAACTGTCTTTGATCATAGGTGCCTGCGTTCTATCTCCCGTGTGAAGCGGTATAATAGGGTGAGCAATATTGAGGTTAGGCGTTGAGGGCTAAGTAAGGAGGAGAAACCAATCGACGAGGTTGTGAAGTTACACTGATTGAGGTGGTTAGGACATTTGTTACGCATACATGCCTAGCCATCACCTTCCTCGACGGTCACTGTTAGCTGACAGAGGATCGACGAGGTTGGAGAAGAGTGAGCTAGTGGTGGTCAAAGCAAAACATGGCTTCATTAGTCAATGAAATCCACATTAGTTAGTTTAAGCCAGCCAGCCACATAGGAAGGTGTATACGTCTTGACTTTCTGGTTGGGGTCCTCGGGATGGTAAAAACCAATGAAAGCTGGATACAGTTAGTGATGTGGTTCAAAATCGTTCCCAATGGTTGTCCTAGGTGCATTCACACTTTGTGATGGCTTCTCATATCCAATAAAATACTATTATTCTTTTTGCCTCATATTTCTGTTTATTACCTGTCTTTTTAATCTCTCTTTACTTACTGTCTTCTCTTGCTTTGAGTGGTACATGGAGGAAAGGTGGCAACTGGAACTGCTGCACATATGTGCTAAGTTGTACGTTGAAACTAGTCGGTCAGTCTCTGTGCTACTCAAAACAATCGCCTAAGGCTTCATGGATAAATGACACGTTTTAGTTGGGTCCATGCCTATTTTTCAAACTTTATCATCTTGTGTTAGCTAACACTGACATAAGATTCATTTATTTCTGTATAAAAATATCATTTTTGACTAAACAAAACAAATACTCAAATGACTTTTTCTTTCTTTCTCTTTTCAGAATGAGTCTTTGGCTTCAAGTCTCACTACTGTTGTTATGCTCTGTGATTTTTGTCTCATCACTTCCTACATCTTTACGAAAACAAGAATTTGGATCTAATGAAAAGTGAGTACACATTAAATCGATACTTTGAAACATTCCTTTTTATTTTTACTAATTGTATTGAGTACTTGTTTTATTCCTTTACGTCATTCCTAGTGGAACTTAGGGGGCTTCAAGCTAAAGGCTTAAGGTTTCAGTGGCAGTGGTGTTTATTTTTACAGGATGTGGTTGCTAGCCTGCTTCATGCCCAACCTTCCCTCTTTACCAATCTTATTACTGGCTTACCGAGGTAAAGCGGTGCGTCTGTGGCCGGGGATCGAACCCTGAACCACGTGATGCGTGGCTAGGTATCGAGTACTTAGTCGGGTTGATTTCATTCTTGTCATGTAGTTTATTACCTATACTTATATAAGAGGTTTTACTTATTAATTAACCTGTAGTTTGGTGATTAGTATACAAATTATGAACTATATGAGAAATTTGAACTTCTTGGCACCTTTGAAATTTGGGGATTCAGCTAATATCGTTCATCTAAAAGTTTTGTTGTCATAGGAATCATGAATGTTTCACCTTTTTTCCTTTTGATATGATCTATTTAGAAGAAATGTTAACTTAGTCTAATAGGCTGATGGCTTGTAAATGCCACTCAGTTGTTCCTAGCTAAATCGATAAAGAAGAATCGAATGTCGATGTGTCTGCACAAACCCGCATCGATTAACTTTCAATCTTTCCTAACCCGCTACGCTTAACCTCCTTGTTGCTCACCATATTATACCACCTAACACGGGGAAACGACTAACTCCTTCATGGCCATATCTCGCAGCCATAGACGAGGTCAGAGCAAACCTGGTGTGTAGTACTCACATCCTTTGATCGACAGCCAACCAGATATCACGTCTACGCCAGAGATGGCGTTAGTTGGCAAATGCAATATCAGCCTTTTGTATAGGGTCATTAAAGTTGATGCAATTTCCCAAATAAGTGAAGTTGTCAACACCCTCTACCTCTTCGCTCTGTATCTTAAGGCTGGGAGTTGGTGTAGTCCAGTCTTGCAGGATCGTCTTACATTTGACAGGAGCGAATGGTATGCCAAACATTCGAGGGTTGTTGCTCAAGGTGTTCAGAAGACTCTGATGCATTTTGTCAGCGTCTTCACCTAGGAGGGATGACCATATCATCTGCATATTGTAAGTCAACGAGATTATTCCTTGGTGTTAGTTAACAAGTCAATCCCTGAGTCGTTGAAGTCAGTTAGGGTTAAGTTTATTAGTACATCTATGTATAATAATAATAATTATTATTATTTCCTTTAATTCCTAGAGGAACTTAGGGCTTCAGCTGCACGTCTCCATTTCGTTCGGTTCTCTACTAGAGTTTTCACCTGGCTCCAGGTCTGCCCACATGCTTTCATCTCCTCTTCACATGACCTCCTTCAAGTCACCCTTGCACTGACGACCAACTCGCCGCTTACCTTTCGGGTTCCACTCGAGCAATGACTTGTCTAGTGATGTCACTTGATGGTTTCCTCAGAGTATGGGTAATCCACCTCCATTTCTTCCTGCTTATTTGTTGCACAATTGGTTCCTGCAGGGTTGGTTCGCTCCCAGAAATCCCTCACTATTTCTGATCTTTTCTGGCCATTTGATCTTGAGTATTGAGGGAAAACAGCAGTTGATGAAGGTCTGTAGTTTGTTTGAGATGCTCTTTATGACGCGCTGGCCAAGTTTCTGATCCGTATAGTAGCACAGACTTCACATTGGAGTTGAAAATCCGGATCTTATTCTGATTTTGATGCTGAGTGCTGTTGACCTCCACACAGACTTGAGAGTAATGAAAGCTTGTCTTGCCTTTCGGATTCTTGCTTTGATATCCTCGTCAGTTCCGCCTGTAGTTGAAACGAAGTACATGTATGATGAAATTAAAAAGAGATGGGAATAGTGGGTAGGGCATCCGTGACAGACACCACTGGTGGTCATCACTCCAGATGACAACTGTCTAGAAGCTCTTAAACGGCTACACGAGATCTAGTAGAGTGCATTGATTAGTGCAACATACTTTCTAGGTGCTGACTTCATGTGTAAACATCACCACAACCTATTTTGGCCGACTGAGTGGAATTCCGCCTTCAGGTTAAGATACATATTAAGTGCTGGACGCCAGTAAGTATGCCTATGTTCCCGAATCTGTCGACTGGCGGAGATATGGTCAATATGCCCTCTTCCTGACCTAAAACCTGCCTGGCTCCCACTGGTTTGTTTATCTCGAGGACCCATGATTATTCAATCTAGAACTTCAGATACTAGATTAGGCAAGCTTATCGTCTTATGATTATCACACAAAGACTTGTCTCCCGTTTTTATAAACTGGAATAATCAATGATTTACATAAGTGCCACAGAAATGCCTCTGATCCTCCAGACATTGGCGTTTGTTCACGGTCATTACGGAGACTTTTCGTCTGGTCGTGTTTAAGCTCATTTCGTTCCTCAACAGATTCGAAACCCCTTGAAATCATTCTTCTTGTGTCAGAAAGTTCAAATGAAACAATAGAAATCCACTGGCATTTACTAATCTTTGCTTTTAGCTTACCAACAGTACCTACGACTGTTTCTACAGCTGACTGGATATTATACCAGGTTTCCTCAGGATTAGTCTTGGTGTCAGTTTCAGATACGGGTGTATAGCTAATTCTTCTTTGATGACTTTAAAAAAAAAGAGTGATTCCTTTGATTTCATAGTGGAACATAAGGCTTCAGGCTAGATCTTTGAAGTGTCGGTAGTAGTCATTTCATTTTCACGAGGTCGGGTTGCTAGCCTTACACCCAACCATACCTCTTTACCAACCTTATTGTCGGCTTAGTGAGGTTTGGGACCAGACTACGTGTGTGACTAGCGAGCGTTCTACCGCTGAACCACCGATGCTCCTTGACGACTAGTTTGTATTTATGCTGTATCTGTATAAAGAAGGATAGTTGTGTACTAACCATTTCACTTATCTAAAGAAAGTCACCGGTGGTAGGTTTGTGGCCCTCATCAACTTGAATCACTTGTGGTGTATTCAGTCAGGTGGTGTACTACTGCCTTGCAGTTCATTCTGTCATACTGTATTACATTGAAGTATAATCACTGAGGATATATCATTTATATCTTTATATATAAAGACATAGACTCTAATTCGTCTTATCGGTTAACTGTTAAGGCAGGCTTAGTTAAGTGTCTAACAAACCGAGCAATAGCACTAAGTAGTACAAGAAAATACCTAAATGAGGAAATGAAACAGATAGAAGAATAGCTGGTCGATATCAAATAATTACCCTATAAAATTCATTAGGAAGATCATAAAGGGCCAACAGCAAAATAAAAATAATTGTGGAACTAGTAATGATAACATAAATACGAGAGAGAATATAAGGCATCTACAGTTTTACCATATAAGGAGGGGACATCTGAGACGCTCCCTGCGTAGGATTCTTAATAAAGCAGGAATTAGAGTGGCATTCAAACCTACAAACTCACTCAGTCAGGGACAAGCTCTGTAGGTTAAAGGACCCTGTAGGTTGACCCAATTAGACAAAATAATATAATTTTATTTTTTAAAAATTTTTTTGTTTTGGTTACAGCTTGATGCCACACAGTATTTTCAGTACAAGTATGGAATTTTCAGCATGGATATCGGTAGCCCCAATTTCGCAGGCCGACCATATATATCGGGTGTGCGTCGGCAGGGGATCGAACCTCGGACCATGTGCATGGTCGGCGAGAGTCCTAACCACTGTGCCAAAATACCCTGCAATGACTGTGAGTTAGGTCAACTACATAGGTCAAACTAGTAGATCATGGGTAGTCAGATTGTCGGAACATAAGAACTTAGCTAAGATAAGAATGGTTGACCCCGAGAAGATAAGTAAATTAGAAAAAGCCTCAGCGATTGCACTGCATGCATTAACACACAACCACACAATAGCATGGTGGGAGAGGGCTAAAATTCTTAGAAGTAATATAGGTAGGCGGAGAGTAAGAGAGGTTGATTACTGAATCTTTGTTCATTGAGTCTACACGCAACATATACAGTAGGAATGACTCGTACCGGAAATATGGAAAATTCTAATACCAATCAAATCAAGCGATGAAAAATAATGGAATTATATAAACGAAGTAAGAAAGTTGTGTGAGTACCTTGATATGATTATGAGCAGTAGTAAATTGTGCTCGAAACGTGGTCATCAGTAAATATTACTGTACAACAACACTGTGAGACTTTATCAAAATAAATTTTACCTATAATGGGATCACTAAGGATATATATTTATCTGCGAAGACTCAGAGTATTCACCTTTATGAAATCTGCCAAATTTTGCAGGACCATATATTCATAATGTAAAACTTATTGAGATTGACTCCTGGTAGGCTAGTAAATTGATAGGATGTTTGTGTGGATACAGAAGGCTGCATCAGTCTTTGTAGAGTGACTGTGAGCTAATCAACTGTCTTTTTGATTACTACATGAATATGGTAGGATTAAGGCGAACTTCTACCTGCTTAGTAAATTATCGGGCAACATTAGTCTCACTACCTAACAGTCTTGAGTGAGCATTTCGAAAGAGTGGGGGGGGGGCGAGGATATAGGGCGCATGTTCTATTTGCCCATCTTCAAATCACTATAATCCTCGTATGTGATAACTCTGTTTTCTTTGTTTGTAATACTCTGTAATTTATGTCTCCAATTACGAGTATTGTCTGTTGTGTTTTTCTTTTTTTTTGTACCCGTCGTCTTAGCTTCGATGGTTCAGACCAACTGTTAGATAATGATGGAGTACATCCGCGTGGACGCAACAAATCTGGATCCAGAAAACGTAAGTGATTCGTTTCGAAGTGCAGTGTTTGTCGATTTTTTATTGTTACTTTTGTGTAACCTTACGAGGTCACTTTCTGGTCATTGCCGAAGATGATCTTGGTTCTACGGAGTTTTTTAGTGTTTCTGTTTTATGAACATAGAGTTATCTCGAGGAATACACATAGTGTGGAGTTGTAACTAGCTACAGAATGCGTTTTTTATCTTTGGTTTCATCGTATCTTATTATCCTAACGACAATTTTGAACAGAGAATCAGGGTTACTAGGATAGACTTCATCGGGAAGGCAGTTTTACGTTTCACTTCCGTAAATGTTCAGCCACAGCATCAATATCTTGAAAGCAGGTTAACAGAACTTATTAATTAAGAGGATCCAACCAAGAGCCGATCGCTCAACAAATATGAAGGAGAAAATGGAGATGGATGGATCAGGTATACATTGAGGAGGTCACCGAATGACATCGCGCGCCATGCAGGTCATCGCTCGAGTTGAATCCAAATGGGAAGCGGCGAGTGGGTCGTCAGTGAGAGGGTGACATGGAGGAGATCGCGTGAACAAGAGATGGGGGAGTTTGGTCAATTTTGGTCTCAGCTGAAGAGGACAGTAGAAAACAGAACAAAGTGGAGATGTGTTGTTGAAGCCAGCCCAATGTTCCACTTGGAACGCAAAGGAATAATAATAATCCAAAGGATGACTCATAACATCCAAACTACTTTCGGAAAGAGAAGAGAGGAAGAAATCTCTTCATAGTTCTATATCGACTACGGTTCTCTGCCATATCTTATAACGTCTCCAGATACTGATTTGAATTATCTCTTGGACCTCACATAAGGAGTTGTGATGCATCACAACAGATGCTAACTAAACACAATCGTCCACTTTATGAGCTCACTACCCGTCCGCTTTATCTGCCCAGTTCCAGGTCCAGCAAACACTAGATAGAGTACGAACCACTAGGATGACATTCGTAGACATGTTCGAGCCACTGGCACGGGTATTCCAAGATGAAAACGCTTATTAAAAAACAATTTCCACCACATCCAGACACGCAACACTGAATCTCAGGGTTACTTACCCAATGATACCACCAAATACAAGAAGTTTTATGAAGACAATAATGATCGACAATACAGAGTCGTACATCCTGAGCCTGAGGAGGCAAGGTTTCACCGGTGTTTAGGGCAAGTCTGCGCTCACTGAAACATTATTAACTTGGCCTCTGACAGCCAGGTTGACATCGTGACGGGTCTTGGGATGGCTCAGGTTGGCGTCCACCTTCCCGGCTTTTATTGTAAGGTTAGAGATCTCATCAGGCGGTAGTACTAAATATGTGTTCATCGTGAAAATTGAAGACCCTGGAGTTTGATTGTTTGCGCTGTGTAGTGCTGAAGATTTCTAAATAGAAATAAGTCGATGTTGTTCAGGCTTTAAGAATTGGAATATAACGTTGGTGAAATGAGGTATTGATTCACAACGTCGATCAGCTTGGATTTAAACCAGCTCTTCCCGTCTTCATCAACTGGCCTAAGGTCATTCAGTTGATAGAATACGTTTTCGAATTGAACTGTGACATCGGTTCTTTTGACAAGTTTATTCGGTTTCTGAGAATTAGATCCTAAGGAAAGCGCTTCCACCATTTCAATTCGATTTAACTTCAAAGTCTACAGATTACAGATAAACTTCTCAGGATTTTCCGGGAAGACATCGTACAATTTCTTCTTTGTTAAGGATTTCGATAGAGATTTATGAAAATTTGCACGTGTTTTCTGTTGAAGGTCTTGTGTTGGTTTGTAGGTCTAGCCTTTTTACTGGAAGGTCCTGTGTTCGAACTCCAGCCGGGGGGTGCGTGCTGCTACAGAGTCACATTAAATTTTCTCATATATATATATATATATATATATATATATATATATATGAGAAAAAGGCACAAACAGCGAAGAAAATTTTCTTTTCGACGATTCATTTTCATGAGTTGTACAATCGTTGTACAATCGGATACTGGTAAACTTTGTCCTCGAAAAATTTATTACATAATGTAAGGTGTAACCTAGATGGGATGACTAATTTTAAGTTAGAAAAGACATAGAAGTTGGTATGACGTAATAAGTGTGAGGTAATGACCAATCAATAAGCTCATGTAGAATGAACAGGAACTAGTGGAAAGGTGATAGTGTTTTTATATAAAATATGTATGAAAAAGCAATGTTTTTAATAAACAGTAATAGATTGGTAGATAATAAAATGTGGATGATGGGAATAATAATGATAATAAAATAATAGTATCGATAATAATAATAGTGAACTTACATAATAAAAAAGATGAGGCAAGGTTATAGTAAGAAGTTTACTCTGGCCATGGTAGGGCGAGAGAATGTATGTATCACTTTTGAATGCAGAGGTCCGGTTTCAGATCTCGAATAGCTAATGCTTCAGCTATGTACAGATGGCGTATGCGAAGTTCCTTTGTACGATATTGAGGGACTCTGTGTAGCACTGTGAAGCATTCATGCAAGTGGGGGTGTTCGATGTCTGGAGATGACAAGGTGTTCGAGGATAGAGCTGCTACGGCTATTCTTTGTTTCTCCTCTGGCTAACCAAGCTGGGCAGTGTTCCAGAATACGTTTGTGAACTTGACGTTGCAACGTACGGCCGATATACTTTGGTCCATACGATCAAGTAAATTGATAAATACACATTGAATTGGCCAAAAGCGGTATCTTATCCTTTGCGTTACACTGGATTAACTGTCTGCAGGAGAATGTGATACGTATATATATATAGCTTGCAGTAACATTTTTGTTTCTGAAATGCCTCCCCCTCCTCTTTCCTTACCTGTTCTCAGTACATATTCCTTTATGTATAAAGTGATTTTTATTTTCTCTTTTTTGTTTAATACAGAGAACAAGTTAGTTTCACACAAGTATTGATTTTGTGCACACACATATTCACCGATTGAACTTTCACTCTATTGATCATTTTTATTTTTCAATTTCCAGTTTTGCCGTGACTAGTAAAAAACAAATTTCGATAAACCTAATCGTTAGACAGTGTTGGATGACTTTAGCGTAGTTGTGTTGTCTGAGTTTTCATTGCCTTACTAGGCAACATCTTCAGCGCGTATACTTCAATTTATTGAAGTTTGCTTTTAAATTTCTCCACGATTTCATTAGTCATCTCTCCTAGTGGTAACCTTGAACGTCGTGATTGGTTGCTTTTGTGTGTTTTCATATACATACACACACTTGTATTTGTATTTATTGTTTCCTTAACCTGAAGTTTGACCCTTTGTTGTGTATGAAATTTCCTTTTTATGGATTGGTAAATTTTATCTATGTCAATGTGCCTGTATACCAACAGCTTACACAACAAATCCCATCCAAACATTCGATAAGTGTATCCAAAGTACCTTAAACAAACCGACCGACTGACTGACTGGTTTCAGCACAGAACTTTGCACGGATGTGCAGCAGTCCCAGTCACCACACTCCCTCCATGTAGCACACAAAGCAAGAGAAGTAGAAGAAAGTAAAAAGAAACGCAAAACGGAGACTGTAAACAGAGATATGAGGCAGAAAAACAGTAGCAATATTGAAGAACAATATAGTTGTTTTATTGGGTATTATAAGTCACAAGGAGTGAATACATCTTTGCCAGCCATTGAGAACAATTTTGTGTTTCTTGTCCAATATTAAAATTTTTGTTTCTCTGCACTATCACGTAGTGTGTATGACGGCAGCGCACTATTTGAATTATTTCCTGGTGTGTATTTGTATATATAATCATTTTCATTCATTTTCACTTTCTGGTCTAACCTTTACATGTATCACTTTATATAGCATTGAAATTAAGTCGTCGAGTGCTATAGTAACTGACGGCAACAGTAAAGAATAGACACCAAAGTCAAATGACCTTAAAACGACCAATCAGTTTCTTCTAGGTGGAAAATGGAACTTATTCTATAAGAAAGTATATTTGTATGACACATATGTAGTAAAAGTGAGTTATACACGGTATATATGTAATGACACAAGACAAGGGCCGGGCAATGGGTCGTTTACTGAGGAAAACAAGAGATATAAGAATAAAACTTGGGCACTGTGGTAGAGTGTAATGGAAAACAAGAGATATTTGTGGATTTTTAGGTACATTATTATTCGTTATTGTTAGCAGAGAAACAGCGTCTTCTGATTGGTTGTTCCCTCGCTGAAAGTTAATTTGCCATCTCTTTGTGGCCGTTTCTTTATGGTCAAACCATATATCTGCGATTTGTATCCGCCCACGCAAAGTCAGCTGTGATTGGTTGTTGAGTTAGTTTTTGTTCTTGATTTTCTCTCATGACGTGAACGTTGACGTAAATTGCTGTCTACCAATTTCGGCTAGCAGACAGCTGTCACCACATATATATCCCCAATGTGCTGCAAAATTCGATCCCACTTTCCCACAGGAATGCCAGTCGACATATCAAACCAGTGTCGGTAGAAAAATTCATCTCAGTGGCTGTATATCATTTCATACCGGGAGTCATCTACCATTGTAACACGTTTTCTCAGTTGGGCCCAGAATCCTTCAATGGAATTTCTATGAGTTCCACTTATAGGATCCGCTAATTTAGAAGAATAATTGACTTTATGATGAATATAGCATAGCGATGATAGTTGCGAATAACCGTTACACTCGTCGTTGGTGTGGATGGTAGTGGTTCGCCTAGGAGGACTAGTCATTGTATTATTGATATTGAAACATCGTCACTTCTATTTGGGTTGGATGTGTTCTACAATTATTTTTCGAAGATTTGTATTGTACAGTCCCAGCACTCAAGTAATTCCATTGATCTTTCGTGAGGTAATATCGCGACAGTGCTGCTGACACTGTCGTGAGAGCTGTCTGCTAGCCAAAATTGGTAGACAGTAATTTACGTCAATGTTTATGTCCCAAATATTGGTCATGTGTAAACAAGAACAAAGACGGACTGAACAACCAATCACAGCTTAGGCGGATACAATTAGCAGATAGATGATCTGACATTCAAGAAACAGCCACAAAGAGATGAAAGATTAACTTTCAGTGAGAAACAACCACCAATCAGAAGACTGTGTTTGTCTGCTAACAATAATCTAAAATAATGTACATGAAAATCTATAAATATGTGTTGATTTCCTTAATAAACGATCTGTTGCCTGCCCCTTGTCTTCTGTTGTTACAACACCACTGCTCTGTTTCCTCTGCTGTAGCAGATATACTTGTCGTCTCAGAAGCCAGTGATGGCATACATACCATTTTGGTAAGACAGAGCTTCGATTTCGAGAGAAAAAGATATCTGAAACAACTCACCATGATGTACAACTTGCTGACTCTTACATACTTCCTGTTATAACAATGATTTCATCTGAATACATAACGATGAACAGCGTGGCAATATTTCTAAAGAGTCATTATCTCTCCACCACATATGAATGGTTTAGTCCTGCCTATCAACCAACCCATTTTCCACTCAGAGTAGTCAGGAACGAAATGTGGGTGAAACTTGCAATGAAGATTATGTGAACAGCCTCCATTTGAGCCATCTAACTGGTTGAATCATGGTCATTTGACTTTGGTGTCTAGTGTTTATTTTTGCCATAACTAAGTAATCAGATCGTATTTTTACACCCTATGCTGCTGCTTTTTCTTCGTGTTGTTTGTTGTCGTCGACTTCTTTCTCTCTCTCTCGACGTATGCTCATCATTTTCATAAATCCTAATGTTGTTTGTTTTATCTATAAAATCATTTTGTTCACTGTACAGATGATCCAATGACAACAACTGGTGAAGGACGTGGACGCCGAAGACGTAGGAAACATGTGAGTTACTTTTTCTTGTGATTAGTAGAACAAACTGTTCAGCGAAGAGTTTCTTTATTGGCGACGAATTCATTCACTCATCTGTGTGTGTGTGTGTGCGTCAGGTTTGTCAGACAAGAATAAAATTGAGTATTGATTTGTGGGGATTTGATTGATTGGTTACAGGATTTCATCATTAGCTGACATCGGTTAGAGAACTGTTGAATGATCTGGGAGTATTGGACAGCTGTTCCGTTGGCCGAGTTTGCGACTCTTCAGTAGTACTCACCCACCAACAGGGATAAAACCCAGGACCTTCTGGTTACAAGGCCAGCGAGCTCGTAGACCAATAAGCCATTGGGACTCGATCCAATGGCCAGCTCATGAATTCCAACTTCTGCGAATTCACGAAATAGCGCGACCGCTAGCCAATGTCATTGGTGGCGAGTATTTGTCCTCACACCCGACCTGCTGTACCCTACTGGTCACAACTTCCCACTAGAACCCCAGGTAACTACCTACCTGAATAGGGCCAGTCGCCAGTGAGCATCTCATTGATATTCAAATATTGGTTTGTAGGGATTTGATGGATTACAGGATTTTTTTATTTTATTATTGCTCGATTCCACACAGTACTTTTGGTACAAGTATGGAATTTTCAGCATGTGATATCGGTAGCTCAAATTTAGCAGGCCGACCATAGATATCAGGTGTGCGTCGGCGGGGGATCGAACCTCGGACCATGTGCATGGTCAGCGAGAGCCCTAACCGCTGTGCCACCGACGCATGAGTTGCTGACAGAGTCCCAAACTCGGAGGAAACACCTATCCAGTACTCCCAGGTTTTCCAATGGTTCTCTAACCAATGATATAAGAATAAAACTTGGGCACTGTGGTAGAGTGTAATTCCATTATGGGTAAATTTTATTTTGATAGAGTCTCACAGTGTTATACAGTAATATTTACTGATGACGTTTCGAGCACAATTTATTGCTCATAATCATATGAAGGTAATCACACAACTTCCTAAATTCATTTATATAGTTCCATTGTTTTCCACTTGATTTTCACTTGATTTGATTGGTAGTATTATTTTCCATATTTCTGGTATTAGTGATGATTCATTCCTATTGCACGTGTTGGGTGTAGATTCGATGAACAAAGATTCAGTAATCAACCTCTCTCTCCACCTACCTAGATTACTTTTTAGAATTTTGACCCTCTCCCACCCTATTGTGTGGTTGTGTGTTAATGCATGCATTGCAATTGCCGAGCTTTTTTCTAAATTACTTATCTTCTCTGGGTCAACCATTCTAACCTTAGCTAAATTCTTATGTTCTGACAATCTGACTACCCCTGACCTACTAGTTTGACCTATGTAGTTGACCTCACAGTCATTGCAGGGTATTTTGTAAATTATATTATTTTGTTTAATTGGGTCCACCGGGTCTTTTAGCCTACAGAGCTTGTCCCTGAGTGAGTTTGTAGGTTTAAATGCCACTCTAATTCCTGCCTTATTCAGAATCCTACGTAGGGTCTCAGATGTCCCTTCCTTATATGGTATAACAGTGGATGACTTATATTCTCTCTTATTTATGTTATCATTACTAGTTCCATAATTATTTTTATTTTGTTTTTGGCCTTTAGTTATCTTCCTAATGAATTTTAAAGGATAATTATTCAACACCAACGCTTCTTCTATTTGTTTTATCTCGTCGTTTAGGTCTTTTTTTGTGCTACTTAGTGCTATGGCTCGGTTTGTTAGACACTTAACTAAGCCTGCCTTAACAGTTAACGGATGCGACGAATTAAAATCTAAATATCTATTAGAATGCGTTGGTTTTCTATACACACTAGTGTGAAGTTTACCTTCTTCTATTCGTTTTATTTTACAATCTAGCATAGCTAACTCTCCTTGTTCATCTTCCGATTCAAATATGAATTTTATCCCCTCTACTAGTGAGTTAATATGTGTCAAGAAGCTAGAGATATGTTCTGTTTTTAACACTGTGAAAGTGTCATCCACATATCTCCACCATATTTTTGGAACTTGTAATGATAACATAAATAAGAGAGAATATAAGTCATCCACTGTTATACCATATAAGGAGGGGACATCTGAGACCCTACGTAGGATTCTAAATAAAGCAGGAATTAGGGTGGCATTTAAACCTACAAACTCACTCAGGGACAAGCTCTGTAGGTTAAAGGATCTTGTCAGTTGACCCAACTAGACAAAATAATATAATTTACAAAATACCCTGCAATGAATGTGAGTTAAGTTAGTAGGTCAGGGGTAGTAAGATTGTCGGAACATAAGAATTTAGCTAAGGTTAGAATGGTTGACCCCGAGAAGATAAGTAATTTAGAAAAAAGCTCGGCAATTGCAATGCATGCATTAACACACAACCACACAATAGGGTGGGAGAGGGTCAAAATTCTAAAAAGTAATCTAGGTAGGTGGAGAGAGAGGTTGATTACTGAATCTTTGTTCATCGAATCTACACCCAACACGTGCAATAGGAATGAATCATCACTAATACCAGAAATATGGAAAATAATACTACCAATCAAATCAAGTGAAAATCAAGTGGAAAACAATGGAACTATATAAATGAATTTAGGAAGTTGTGTGATTACCTTCATATGATTATGAGCAATAAATTGTGCTCGAAACGTCATCAGTAAATATTACTGTATAACACTGTGAGACTCTATCAAAATAAAATTTACCCATAATGGAATTACACTCTACCACAGTGCCCAAGTTTTATTCTTATATCATATGTGTCTTATCTTTGGTGTTCGTGATGCAAACTGGAGGCTTTATGAAATTAATCTTCGCTTTGCTATCCAAAATAAGTTTAAATAAAGTCTTCGACTAATTTCCATTGTTGTAGTTGTTGTTGTTATTTTTGTTGTTTGATTTCCTTTTTCTCTCTCTCTCTCTACACTTATTTGTAGAATCGACAATGTGAAGTGACAGGCGATTGTCCTGAAGGTAGGCAAATTATTTTATTGATCAAGAATTAGTGCTTTTTATAACAGACAGTTGTGTGTATGAGTGTGTGTGTGCGTGCAAGAGATTTCAGAAATAGAATTTCTGTCTTATCAATATTATCCCATCCTATGTCAGTGAAAATACGATTGGTGAAATGTTTAAGTGACAATAGGGCACAAAAACTAAGTAGCACCAAGGAAAATCTAAGACAGGAAGTGATGCATATAAGAGAAGCTTTGAAACTTAATAATTACTGTGATAAATTCATCAGGAAGCATGTAGGAAAATGTAAAAATAAAATTAATAATAATAATAATAGTGATAGTGGTAATAATAATAATGACGACATGCATGTCAAATATGCGCAGGATAATGGCAGCACCAACAATAGGGAATATAAATCACCAGTAGTACTTCCATACAAAGAAGGAACCTCAGAAATCACCCTACGGAGAATTCTTAACAATTCGGGAATAAAATTGTCTGGCATTGAAACCAACCACAAATTCAATTAGAAACAGGCTTTGTCGGTTAAAGGATCGCGTTGAACCAATTAAACAAGACGATTTAGTTTACTTAATACCCTGCCTGCAGTGACTGTCAGGTCAAATACATAGGTCAGAGTAGTAGAACAGGGTCAGTCAGAGAGATTGTCGGAGCACAAAAACCTAGCAAAATCTAGATTAGTTGACTCGAATAGGGTAAGAAATCTAGAGAGTAGTGCAGCCGTAGATAATACTACATGCAATTACACACAACCAAACAATAGGACGGGATAAGATGACACTTTTAGAATCTAATGTAACAGCAGGGTGGAGGGAGAGAGGGATTGTTAACGGAAGCCTGGAAAATTCTACTACTCCTACAACAACAAATAGGAGAGAACAAAGAAAACTATAAAACTCAAGTTTCGAAGTTGTGTGATTATAATTGATATGATTATGAACAATGATAAATTGTCTTCGAAACGTTATCCAGTAAAAACTAATACTGTTTCACTGAATGTGTGATATATCTAATAAACCAACTAATATAGAATTTCTGTCTGTCTGTCTGTTTTCAACATAGAACTTTGCATCGATGTGCAGCAGTTCAAGTCGCCACACTCCCTCCATGTAGCACACAAAGCAAGAGAAGAAATGCAAAATAGAGACAGTAGACAGGGATATGAGACAAAAAGAATAGTAATATGGAAGAACAATATAGTTTCATTGGGTATTATAAGTCACAAAGAGTGAATGCATCTTTGTCAGTCATTGAGAACGATTTTGCGCCATATCACCAATTGTCTCCAGTCTTCATTGGTGTTTACCGTCCCTAGGACCACAACCAGACAGCAGTCTACACCTTTCTACGTGATTGGCTTAAACTAACTGTTGTGGATTTCATTGACAGATGAGGCCATGTTTTGGTTTGACCACCACTAGCTCTGTTACAACCTCATTGATCCTATGTCAGCTAACATTGCCCTTCGGTCGAGGAAGACGATGGCTAGGGATGCATGCGTAAGACATGTCCTAATCATCGCAGTCGACGTAGCTTCACAGCCTCGTCTATTGATTTCCCCTCTTTTCCTAGCGATTGACCGGCGTCTAACCTCAATATTCCTCTCTGTATTATACCACTTCACACGGGAGATGGAACGCAGACACCTACCAATGAAGTGGTTGCTGTAGTCCATCATCTTTAGGTAATACGAGCGATTCTGGGGAAATCACTCGTACCAAATTCCCATGAAACTTCATGAACTCTCAGTACAGTCAAGGCTAATATGGAGTGCCTGGGGCTACAAACCGTCTACGGAATGCGTCTGTGGAACAAGAATTGGATAACCCTGTCGCAAAACCTTACATGAGATCGCCGCGCCTGGGCAGCGATGATTCGAGATGTTCATGAAGCCGGCTCATCCTCCCGTAGGATATAGCCGTAGTAAATTAAAAAATTATAAAATACGGTGGGGATGGGTGGAATTAAGAGGTTAAGTGTCATCAAAACAATCAACTAATAGATGTTAGTAAGAGGATATGCTTTGAAGGAGGGGCAGAAATTGATTAATTATGAAATTCAAGATAAGTTAATTCTTTTTAAACATTCAACAAATGATATTTCCAACATTAAATTTATTCATATTCTTTGACAATTATTCTGTATTTATCTTTACTCTACTGATATTCTTTACTGCTCTGAATATTACAGTTCCAGGTCATAGGAAACCACACAGACGTGGACGAAAACGCGTGAGTTCCCCATGAATTTGTTACCTATCCTAACTTACATTTAAGCGATTATATTTAATATGTATGTGACATATCCCTTTTTTGTCTCAAATGATACCACCTGCTTTATTCTGTGGGTATTGTGCCGCGTCATTTCAATAATATGGGCCTTAATATACAACTAACATGATTTGATGAAAATCAAAAAAAATTATACGTTTAACTTGCATCCTTTAATTTGGTTACATTGCGTTTTTATTTTGTTTTTCATTCCTTCACTTTCCCAGCGGAACATCGAGCTTCAAGCTAGAGGCTTGAAGTTTCCGTAACAGTGGTGTAGTGATACATATTGTTGACAGAGGTTTTTAAGAATCATGTTTCATCTTCATGTACTAAGGTGTTCTTTAACTGAACTATTCATCTTTTCTTTTTTAACTTTTCTCTAGCGTACACGATGCAACTCTGATACTGATTGTCCCAGTGGTAAGTAGTTCTTTCTACATTTTTTATCCTCTTTGCAGTACAATTCATTGATTTTGGAGTAGTTGTTTTTCTTCAAGCAATGGTTTCCACGGATTTGATTGGTTACAGGATTTCATCATAAGCTGACATTGGGTTAGAGAACCATTGGAAAGCCACCTTGGACTACTGGGTAGAAATTGGCAGAATTTGGAATTCATGGGCCGTTGAATCGGATTTCAGTATCTGAGTGGTTTACGAGCTCATCTTGTAACCTGAAGGTCCTTGGTTTCGACCTCTAGCGGTGGGTGCGTGCTGCTGAAGGGACGCTAACTGTGCGAAGCAGATGTTTAGTACTTCCTTCAGGTTTTCCAATGGCTCTCTAATCGATGTCAGCTCATGATGAAATTCTGTGATCAGTTAAATCCCTGCAGACAAACAATTGAGTATCGATCTGATGCCTACCAGCGACTGACCCTATTCAGGTAGGTATTTACCTGGGTTCTAGTAAGAAGGTGTGACCAGTGCGATACAGCAGGTTGGATGTGAGGATAAATACTCACCCCCTATGAAACTGGCTAGTGCCAGTCACGCTCTATCTTGAACTGGCAGAAGTTAGAATTCAAGGGCTGGCCACTGGATCTGGTCCCAGTAGCTTAATGGTTTATGCGGTAGCATACTGTTCTGCCTCATATAAAACATATATTACCTTTCCTCCCAGTATATTGACAGTCAGTTTTTTGACATTTAATTTATCTTTGATTTAGATTTTGTAACGAGCTGATATCAGTTAGAGAAACTCAGACAGTAACTGAAAAGCTTTTTCAGCCTAGATTAGGACTAGCCTTTCAACAGTGGTTATACGTGACTCTCTGCCTAGGAGAATGGAACCTAGGAACCAAACATGTTGAACGCTATTCAGCCAGTGAGCTTCTCTAACTGATGTCATTTCGTGACAGTGCGACAGGCGCTAACTGCCTGAGTGAATTTTCAGCGTAAAAATTTGCATTTCAAGGTTCCACACTCAATATAACAATTCAGCAGAACTATAATAAGCAGAAATGTACGAGAGAAAGGCTCATTTCATAGAGAAATATAGGGGATTAATAGATCTTGAAGATTGTAAAGGGTGAAATGCATCTCCTTCGTTGAGAACGATCTTCAGTCATATCTTACAATAACAGTCTCCAGCCACTTTTTTTCTTAGCCATCCCAGTGGCCCCAACTCAAGCAGTATACACACTTCTCTATGTGGCTGGCTATCTCAAACTGGTCATACCATAGATCAACTACTCATCTCAATCAATCACTAGTAGTATATAGTTTCATGAGAATCCCTAACGCAGGTTTGCCCCAGTCATTTCAATCAATGCAGTCTTACAATCTCACCGATTGACTCCGCGTCCTTACCAAACACTCTACGCATGACATCAATACTGCTCACCATATTGTTCCATTTTTACACGGTAGGTAGAACATAAACATCTGTGCAGAACGACAATTGACGATTTTTTGTATCTCCCACTGTCTCAGCCATAAAGAAGGAACAGAGCCCAATGGCTGCGCAATACACACCACATCCTTTGATCAATAATCCCTTAATTTTTGATATAAAAATGTCTAAATAATCTCAATATAAACCTGTTTCTAATTATTATTATTATTTTTGTTGTTGTTGTTGTTAGGTCAAACATGCAAAGAACGTCGTCATGGTGGACGCAAGCACCAGTCGAATGATATCAATGGTATTCCACTCGATTCATCACCATCCTCCACAGCGTCATCATCATCTATTCATGGCGTAAAGTCCGGTGGAAGTAAAGTTTGTCGTGAAAAACGACACAGTAGTAGAGTTCTTAGAAGATCAGGAGCTCTGTAATAAATTGTATTCAGACGATTCATCACATTGACAAGTATCATTACAATTATTATTATTATTATTATTATTATCAAAACATTCATTGTTCGAAAGTTCTTCATTCAAACTGCTTAATAATATGCATATAAATACATACATTAACTGCTGTTTATTTCTTTCCCATTTCTTGGTTTTAAATCTACCTGTTCAAGTTTAAAAAGTTTTCAAAGGAAATCAATTGAACCATGAAGTTCATTTTATTTGTTTATCTTGATTAAAGAAAACAAAAAGGGAGGGAAATTCAATGGCGCCATTTTTGAATAAAATGGCGCGACATTTTGTTATATACCTTTGTTTGAAATGATTAAATCGATAATAATAAAAAATTTGAGAGGATGAAAATAAGAATAAGAATCATAGTAAGCAAATTGTCCGAATAGGCATCAGTTTAATCTAATTCAACCTCATTTCATCGTATGATGTTTTTTTTCTGCCCTATTTCTTCTTCTTGTTACCTCCGCATTTAATTATTCTTATTTATAGTCTTTTTATTGTTTTTCTTAAACTGAATAATACAAATGTCATAAATTGGGGTTTATCCCTTCCTTTTATTAACTTGCTTGACAGTAATGATAATAACAATAAAAAATATATATGAATATTCAGTATAACTTGATTTTTTATCTTTTTTGGTTGTTTATGACCTGTTTTTTTATTCCTTCACGTTCTCAGTCGAACACAGGGCGAATTCAAGCTAGAGGCTTGAGGTTTCTGTAGCAGTGGTGATTATTTTTAACTGGATGGAGTTGCTAGCTTGCCTTATGCCCAACCTTCCCTCTTCACCAGCTTTAATTACTGGCTTAGCGAGATAAAGAAGTGCGTCGTCTGTGGCCGGGGATCGAACCCTGGAACATGTGCATGGTCGGCGAGCGTCCTAACTGCTGTGCCACCGACCCGTCACCCCATAAAGTGGTACTACTGCTAATGATTGGATGTGACGATGGTTTTTTTCCCCGCTAATAAGAAGCGATTTGTGTTCACATTAATCATTGGCGGGGAGGCGATCATTATAGGACTAGAACAAGACATATAAGCGGACAATATTGTTGTTTTCAATTAGATCTTCTTCAGGCTTTATTCTAATTTACATAGCTGTATATTTAAAAATTTAACCAGCGACGGTGAGTTTGTGGATCGAATTATAGTAATAAGGTATATATGTCCAAACCATGTTCACTTTTAACAGTCAGAAAAAATTGGGGCATTGGGTGTATGATATTCATTATAATAAAGGTTTTTGTATTTCCCAATGACTGAAAAATAAAACGATATTGCTGCTTTTACTGACGTTTCGCTATTTAATACTGCTGCTAATAGCTTTATCAAAGTAGTAATATTAAAATAGAATTTACAAAATCTCAGCTTATATATAAAAACTTAATCATCGTTCCTCAGTATGGGGTTATTTTTGCGCTGTCAAATTGGTAAATTGGTAAAGATAACAAAACCGGGTGTAGATTGTTGGATTTGATAAGTGTGTAAAATCGTAAAAGCAGCGTATGTTTACATGATGAAATTGCTTATCACATTCGTGTTGATTTTGTCATTTCATGGGGTGTGTGTGTTGTAACCAGGTCAAATTCTGTTTTAGTCCATCATTCCTATTCAGACAATTTGGATTCCACTTGATATGAAGTGCTTCTGATGATATGAGACGTTCTTTGTGATTTCTGAAATTTTTCTGGATGATGATTTCAATATTGTCAAAATCAATTTTGTGACCTGATTCTATAGCGTAGCGTGTAGACGAGCTATGGCTGATGATTTTTCAAGCTTTTCTAGTTCAACTGGATTTCTCTGTGGTCGAACAGATGCAGTTCTACGGTGTTCATTTCTTCTGATTACCTTGATTTCTCTCTGGTGATGTTTGTCCGATGTATATCGCATCACATTCCAAGCATTTTATTTTATAGACACAATTAGATAGAGAATCTTTAGGGATTTGGTCTTTTATATGGACAAGGTTGCTTCGCAATGTGTGTGTCTGATGTTTTGAAGAAAACTCTGATGTCGAGCTGATTGAGTAATCTTCTGATATCGTCTGACGTCTCTGCTCTATATGGAATGATGACTATTGAGGTTCATGTTTCCGGAATACGTTTTCGACCATATTTAATGTCAGTGTTGATTTTGTTGATGAAGTTCTTTGGGTAGTTATTTTGCTTGAGAGTTTCAGTAATGTTTGATATTTCTTCTTATTCTTTCTCATCCGTTAACATCAAAGAGTGTGCTCATCTAAGAAGATTTGAAACAACTGATATCTTTGCGCTGATGGGGTGTGATGATCCGAAGTCTAAATATTTGTTGGAGTGGGTTTTCTTCCTGAATATAGATATACTAAAATGTCCGTTTTCCCTCCTCTTAACTAGCCAGGCAGTCTAGAAATGGTAGTTCACCGACATCTGATTCTGCTTCTGAAGTAAACTGGATTCTAGGAGATAGATTGTTCAGTTTCGCCAAGAATGAGCTGTGTAGATCTCGTTTTAGCACAACAGAAGTATCATCTACATATCTTAACCATATTAGGAGTGAGTATGCTTGAAAAGATGTTATCTTCGAATCTATTCATGAAAAGATCAGCGACTATTGGGGAAACTGTTGAAACCATAGCAACACCATTTGTCTGTCTATATAAATTCCCCTTAAATGTAAAATAATTACTTTCTAGACAGAATTTTAAGCTGTTAATTATTTCACTGGTGTCCAGTGGACATCTTTGTGATAGCGTTGTAACTGATTCTAGTAGACTGGAAATGATATCAAGACTCTCGGAAATAGTAACAATTTACACCTGGTTTTGTTATCTTTACCAATTGGCCGATTTGACAGCGCAAAAATAACCCCATGCTGAGGAACGATGATTAAGTTGTTATATATAAGCTGAGTGGATTTTGTAAATTCTAGTTTAATAATACTACTTTGATGAAGCTATTAGCATTAAGTGGCGAAACCTCAGTAAACACAATATCGTTTTGTTTTTCATTCATTGGGAAATACAAAAAACGTTTATTATAATATAATGATAGGGTTTTAACTGTTTAAACTCAGTAATAAGGATGATTATAATGATGATAAGGTTTATGCAGGTGGCGATAAGAATAACGAAGGTAGTAATATGTACATATGTAGACATTTCAATAAATGAATAATTTGGTCAAATCCCAAAAATTACGCAATACTCATGAGAAGTAGATACATAATCAGAGTTTAAATGAATATCATAAAAGTGCGAAGGAAGTAGAAAATAAGAAAGAGTGTGAGGGTTTTTTTATTTAGACTTTACCTAGGTCAGGGGAGAGACAAAGGCAGAACAAACTACAGTAATAAAAAGGACTTGTACTGCCGCCACCCTTTGTTTGTCATTTTCTAGCCAAATCACTTTTAATTGCTCAAGCGAAGGATAGGCTGCCTAGCTCTGCCACTTCTATGTGTAATTACAAAATTATCTGCTGCTGTGGAGAAAGCTATATAGTGCGGAAAACTAGACTGCTGAACAAACGCATCATCACTGAGCATCTTCTTACATGGTTCGGAATAGGCGAAGTAAAATCTACAAGAAGTTCTATTTTGTCCCATTTCGATGATGATAGTCGTCACCAAGTGGACAGAGGAATAAGATCCTTCAAAGTGACCTATCGCATTCCATCCAAACTTTCAAACGGAATTCGAACCCTTCTGTTAACGACAGCTGAAGAAGCTATAAGAATTATTTTGAGAGAATAGTCCTAGTCTTTGCATACAACAAAAGAAGTTTGTTCTCCTCCCTAGGTGAATTTTAGTCAAGACCATCGCACCCTTTCTTATTTTCCATTTCCTTCGTATCTATTCGATATTTAGAGCGAACAGTTGTCACTTTCAATAAATTCTTCAGGCTTTACAATTATAAATCCATTTAGCATTTAAGCATACAATAGCCAGCCAGTTAGTAAAGGCAAATTAGAATCATATCAGAAACGTGCATCGTAGAACAAATATAGATATGATAGAGAAGATTTGGAGCTCAGGTGGGTGATTTTGATGTGGTTGTGTTCTCTGAGCTGGATAGTTAATTTGTGGAGTTTTCATCGCCCTACTAGATGAAATCTTCAGCGCATACTTCAATTTGAAGTGAAGTGAGCTTTTAGATTTCTCCGCGAGTTTACTAATCATCTCTCCCGATGACCTTGGACGTGATTGGTACTTTTGTGTGTTTTCATACCTTCTGGGTTACTTGTACTGGAACTGATTGTTTCTTTGACTTGAACTTTGATCCTTTGTCTGTGAGGTTTATTTCTTATCGGTTGATAAATTTTGTCTATCTCGATGTGCCTATTGATTGATGATTCACCGGAATGCGAAGCTTCTAAAAATTCCCTAGCATTCTTGTTGTTTCTTCTGTCTAATATTTGAACGCTGGTTGTCCCAGTCGAATTGATGTCCGTGGTTGTCTGTATGTAGTGATATGAGCAAGGGAGTGGATATCATGTCTTTTGACGACTAGTTTGTATTTATGGATACGAAGACGAAGGGGATGTTCACTCCCTCATATCGCTACATACAGAGAACGATGGACATCAATTCGACTGGGACAACCAGCGTTCAAATATTAGACAAAGGAAACAACAAGAATGCTAGAGAATTTTTAGAAGTTTGGCATTCCAGTGAATCATCAATCAATAGACACATCGATAGGAAAGAAACCTAACACACAAAGGGTCAAAGTTCAAGTCAAAGAAACAATCAGTTCGAATGCAAGTAACCTAGAAGGTGTGAAAACACACAAAACTACCAATCACGTCCAAGGTCACCGGGAGAGATGATTAGTAAACTCATGGAGAAATCTAAAAGCTCACTTCAACAAATTGAAGTATGCGCTGAAGATTTCGCCTAGTAGGGCGATGAAAGCTTCGCAAATTAACTATCCAGCTCAGAGAACACTACCACATCAAGAACAAATATAAGATGAGATAGAACAATAGTCAGTTAGTTTTGAATATGCATGGTCAATGAGAATATGAGATAGAATGAGATGAAATAATTTAAGTACAGGCTTCGAGGGTGGGTGTAATCGGTGGTGTATGAGACAATATGAATACTACACAAAAATAAACCAAAGAATGCTGAACGTTAGTCAATTAAAGAAAGGAAAAGAAAATAAAATCGCGATAGAAAATTAAAGTGCTAATGTTTCCGGTGGATTTGTTGGCCTTATTGTAAGCCAAGGTAAATATAAAGGTTGAATATACTTCTGTATACAAAGAGTTGGTCTTCTGGTATTAATTGCAACCGCTTCAGCTACAGATAGAAGACGTAGTCGAGATCCTCTATCTATGAATTCAACTGCTCATATGCAGCCAGTTGCATTGGCTGTATTCAGAGGGCTTTATCCATCCGCGAGTGTGAACATGTACCTGTATGACTGAGTAAAGGGGTGACCAAGTGCGTAAATAGTGCAGTCTTAGCTCACTTGGACACTCAATAAAATCAGAGCAGGCGTTCTCGGTTATCTATCACGTACCTGGTAATTTATCTAGAGGAGCTCGACTACGTCTTCTATCAGTAGCTGAAGCGGTAGCAATCATTACCAGAAGACGGGATCTTTGTATACAGAAGAAGTATGTTCAAACCCTGCG